GCGCCGCCGCCGCCGCTCCCTCCGCGGGCGACCCCCGGCGGCGGCGGCGCCTCCCAGCCCCCCGGGCCCCGCGGCTGCTGCCGCCTCTGCATCTGGATCCTGCAGTCGCTCATCCACCTCCTGCAGCTCGGGCAGGTCTGGAGGTACGTGGGAAGGCGCCGACACGTGTGCCGCGCGGCTCGGGGGGCGGGTGCCGCGCGGCGGGCGCCCCGGCGCCGGAGAGGAGCGGAGGGGCCGGGCGCCCGGGGCTGTGGCGCGCACAAAGGGTGGGCGGGGGTCTCGGGGAGTCCCGCGGGGGCCCGGGGCGGCGGGAGGCACCTCCTCGCAGCGGCCGGCCGGGCGGCCGGCCAGGGTGTTGGGGCGGCGGGGAGGGGCGCTCGGCCAGCGCCTTTTGAACGGGGCGGCGGGTGGGCCACCCGCCGGGGGTGGGGCTTAAGACCCTCCGAGCCACAATGGGAGCGCCTCCCCTTCCAAAAGGCCCGCGCGCTCACACGCACGCATCCCCCGCTCCTGCCGGGGCGAGCGCCCACCCCGCCCGGCACGCTCCCCAGGGCCAGTGGGCGCCTTCTTCCTCGCCCCATCCCTGCTCTGGCACGCCAGTGCAAAGCCAGGTGGCCAGCGGGTGGGACTGGGACCCCTCCTCCCTTCCCTCCACCTGGCAGTGGGAAGAGGTGGTGGGAGGGAGGGTCCGGTCCCTCCCAGCGAGGTTCCCTTGATCGCCTGGCTCGGGTGGGCGGGGTGGGCTAGCCAGGTCCAGCCAGTCCCTGTGATGCATTGGAAGGGAGAATCCCGTCCCTGGATCCCGTCCTTGGGGCTCCGAGGCAAAGCACCCCCTGTTCCGTTGTGGGGGGAGGGCTTTGGACGGGGGAAACGATTCTCCTGCATTTGTGAGAACCGGGAGGGCGATGCTGGGGTCGTCCGACTGCCCACTCTCTGCGGGAATGTTAAGTGCTGTGCTAAATGGGATTTATTCGAGGCACTGCAACGAGTGGGTGCGGTGGGGATGCAGCCTGGAGCGGCGGGACTGGCTTGGATGGTGTTCGCTGAGCGGAGCAGCGGCCTGGGGAAACGGCCGGCCTGGGAGAGCGGGGAAGGGCAGAGGGCGGGAGATGTGCCGTGCTTGGCGTGAGATCCTTCATCCCCACAGAAGCCAGAGATGGAGATGTTTCCCAAATGCGCCTCGGCAGCGTGGCCGCCCCAAGAGGGAGGGAGAGGGATTTCCCATTGCCAAGGGCCAGGGGGTGAGCCTTCCTCATTTCCCCCCTCCCCGCAAGGCTGGCCAGGCGGGGGCTGCGCCCTGAAGCTTCCCCGGCCTCGGTGGGAGCCGCTGTGCTTCTTCCCTCCCTCCACAGCCTGAACTTTCCAAGAATCTGGAGAGTGTTGACTGAGCTGGCCTCTTCGTTCCAGCAGGCTCTCCGGACATCCTTCTCAGCCCTCCTGGCCTCCAGATGAGCTGGGCTAGGACCCTCAACATTGCAGAGAATTATGGGAGCAGTAGTCCATGCATTGGGAGCACATGGGCCAGAGATGGGCGCTGTAATACAATGCATCTATCCTTCAGCCAGTGGTGCCGGGGGGTGGGAGCAGAGGGGAAGGCTGGGGCAGGCACCCGAGCACTGCAGGAGGCCAACCCGACAGCTCTAGGCTTGCAGTTCTGCTGAAGTTCAGGGCCCCTTGATTTGGCCAGGGTGCCCCACTGTTTCTCTTCCCCAGCCCAAGCCGGCCTTCTTTGTCCCTCCTTCCTCCCCTCCCCTCCCCTCCACCCCTGCTTTTCATCCAGCTCCTTGGCCAGCCCCAGAAGATCTGAGGCAGGCGGAAGCACGGAGCACCCCTTTGGGAGCCAGCCCGTGCAGCTGGAAACCCCCCTCTCCCAGCACCCACCTCCACCCGGGCTCTTCCTCGCTCGCTCGCTCGCTCGCTTCCCGGCAGCTCTGCTTCCTCCGGCCAGACTATTGAGCTGTGCTGGTGCTTTCTGAGCCTTGGACAGCTCTCCTCTCCCGGTCTCTGAGCTCCCTCCCCTGCTGCCAGGGAGCTGAGCTGGCCAGGAGACAGCGGTGAAGTCCTGAAGCAGTCTGCTTAGCTATTCATCAATCGATCGAGCAAATCGAAGCTGCAGGATGGAGTTCTCTTGCCCTGACGCTCCTGGGTGAGGTGAGGCCTTCCTGCTCGGCTCCCGGGATCTCATTGTCACGGCTCTGATCCGACTGGGAAAACCCATCACTAGCCCGTCCCTGCAGCCCCAGCCTCGCTGGCCAGCTCCATTCCCATTCAGAGCAGCAGGCGGGCAGGCCGTGTCCCCGGCTCGCCCCCTCCCATTCACAGCTCCAGCCTGCTCTTATCACAGCTGCTGACATGGGGAATCGACAAGGGAGCCCAGTGTAATGTGCTCTTCACAGAGAAATGCGGCCTCAGTGGATTTCATCATTTCGCAACATTGCGTAAATCAGACTTTCCCTCACACCCGGCGATGCCACGTGCACCGCTTGCAGAGGGGGCTGCCATGTTCCCTTTTGTGCTGTTTGCCATGGAAGATTTTCGTGGTTTTGTGCTTGGCCGTTTGGGCAGCGGCCCCCGGCCCCGGTGCGAGCCGCTCGACAGTCGTGGCTTCGTGAAGTGCGGCCTGCCGGTCGTGAATGGAGGACATTGCTAATTGCCCGCTTAAGGGGAGTGTGGAAATTCTGAGAGCGCATGCTAATTCAGGCAGGCATGAATGAATGGCGGGGGCTTGAATGGAGCTGGGCGGGCAGGAACCGAGACCCAAACAGTTTGGGATGCCCCAGTTCCCAGCCATGGGAGAGCAATGTGTCTTGAAGGGACGGGACGGGACGGGAAGGGACGGGACGGAGGCTGCATTTGAATATGCCCCACCAGTCCAGTGAAGCACGTGTAGGTTTTGGCTCCGCAAGCTGGAGATTGGAGGGGAGGAGCTGCAGGAGAGAAAGTGGACACTGCAGGTTCCCCCAAGAAAGAACCCGCCAACCACCCATTCCCTCTTCCCTGTGGATTGTTCCCAAAGTCCCCACAAGCACAGCTCTGCAGATATGCCCTTCCAAGGAGCCTGGCATTCAGTGGGAGACCTTCGGAATTCAGAAACCGCAGTGGATCCAGCATCCAGGCAAGATTAAGCTCGTGGTCAGCTCAAAATTTGAGCAGCACCTCAGTGTGAATTCTGCGATTCTGAGAACTGACCCAGTTCGACCTCTGGGCCTTCCTTGGCCTTCCCGGGCTTCTCTTTATTGCTGTAGCACCATGTGCCATGCAGAACACCGTGGGGGGGCTCTTGGGTTGAGGGCAGCCCCCCAGCCAGTCACTGCAGCCCGTGGGGCACTCGGCAACTCTCGCCCCTGTCGCAGATGAGAAGCAAAGCCAAGCGTGGCAAGGCATTTGGCGGGCAGTGTTGGACTGATGCCGGATCACGACTTGTCTGGGTTTTTGCATGACTTGTGGCTTGTGGCACTCCTATGAGGGAGCTGGAGGAGGGAAGACCATGGCTACCATCCAGGCCTGCCCTATAGCTGAGCAGGGAAGTTCTGCTCCTGGGTTTTTCACCTCCAGATGCCCCAAGAGATTCATGTAAAGTAGGACCGCTTAGAAACATAGAAGTAGAGTGAGTCAGAAGGGGCCTCCCGGGCCATCTAGTCTGACCCTGGTTCCAGCCGGCTCCGCTCACGACATGCCCACCATGTGCATGTCCAGCCTGTCCTTGAGCACCCACACCGATGGGGCCTCAACAACCTCTTGTGGAAGCCCATTCCACACCCTCAGGGCCCTAACTGTCAGCAAGTGCTTCCTGGCATCCAAACTGAACCTGGGTTCCCTGAGCTTTGCTCTATTGGAGCGCATCCTGCCTTCCTCTGCAGGGGAGAACAGGTCTTAACCCACCTCCATATGGCACCCCCTCACGTACCTGAATGTCACTAGCAGGTCCCCTCTGAGTCTCCTCCTCTCCAGCCTGAAAAGTCCCAGCTCCCTTGGTCTCACCTCATACAGCTTCCCCTGCAAACCGGACACCAACCTTGTGGCCCTACGCTGCACTGACTCCAACCTGGCTAGATCCTTCCTGTAACGTGGAATCCAGAAATGAGCACAATAGTCCAGCTGCGGGTGCACCAGAGTTGTATAGAGTGGCAGCGATACCTCTCTCGATCGAGAAGCCATGCTTCTGGCTTTGCATCCGAGGGTGGCGTTTGCCCTCTTGACCTCCGTGTCACACTGCTGACCCAGACTCTTGCACAGGTCCTCTCTAAAGGACATCCACCAATGTGCCATGGTTATGTGCCATGATATCCTGGTGGAGAAACTGAGGAGTTTTGGGATACACCAAAGCACTGTCCAGTGGATTAGGGCATGGCTGACTGACCGAAAGCAGAAGGCAACCATTAGTGGGGAATCATCGGGATGGTGGCCAGTGACAAGCGGGGACCCCCAGGGCTCTGTCCTGGGGCCGATCCTGTTTAATCTTTTCATTAACGACATGGAAGAAAGGGTGAACAGTCTGCTGATCAAATTCGCAGACGACACGAAAACTGGAGCAGTGGCCACAACTGAGGAGCAGGTACTCCAGATCCAAAAGGATCTGGACAGACTATGGAAGTGGGCAGGAGACAACAGGATGGCGTTCCATGTGGATAAGTGCAAGGTCTTGCACTTGGGGCACAGGAATGGGTGTCATAAGTGCAATTTAGGGGACAAGTGGCTGGAGAGCAGCACTTGTGAAAGGGACCTCGGGGTGCTGGTCGACTGCAGGCTGAACGTGAGCCAGCAGTGCGATGCGGTGGCCAAGAGGGCGAACGCCACCCTTGGTTGCATAGCCAGAAGTGTGACTTCTAGATCGAGAGAGGTATTACTACCACTCTATGCGACTCTGGTGCGCCCGCAACTGGAGTATTGTGCTCAGTTTTGGGCCCCTCATTACAGGAAGGATATAGCCAGGTTGGAGTCAGTGCAGTGTAGGGCCACGAGGTTGGGGGCCGGTTTGCAGGGGATGCCGTATGAGGCGAGACTGAGGGAACTGGGTCTCTTCAGCCTGGAGGAGACTCAGAGGGGATCTGATGGCGACGTACAGGGATGTGAGGGGGTGTCACATGGAGGTGGGTAGAGACCTGTTCTCCCCTGCAGAGGAAGGCAGGACGCGCCTCAACAC